ATCTTCACTTTACACAACACACACTGTTCAATCTTCCCCTTATACAACACACACTGTTCAATCTTCCCCTTATACAACACACACTGTTCAATCTTCCCCTTATACAACACACACTGTTCAATCTTCCCCTTATTCAACACGCACTGTTCAATCTTCCCCTTATACAACACACACTGTTCAATCTTCCCCTTATACAACACACACTGTTCAATCTTCCCCTCATACAACACACACTGTTCAATCTTCCCATCACACAACACACACTGTTCAATCTTCCCCTTACACAACACACTGTTCAATCTTCCCCTTACACAACACACTGTTCAATCTTCCCCTTACACAACACACACTGTTCAATCTTCCCATCACACAACACACACTGTTCAATCTACCCCTTACACAACACACACTGTTCAATCTTCCCCTCATACAACACACACTGTTCAATCTTCCCCTTACACAACACACACTGTTCAATCTTCCCCTCATACAACACACACTGTTCAATCTTCCCCTTACACAACACACACTGTTCAATCTTCCGATCATGCAACACACACTGTTCAATCTTCACTTTACACAACACACACTGTTCAATCTTCCCCTTATACAACACACACTGTTCAATCTTCCCCTTATACAACACACACTGTTCAATCTTCCCCTTATACAACACACACTGTTCAATCTTCCCCTTATACAACCCACACTGTTCAATCTTCCCCTTATACAACACACACTGTTCAATCTTCCCCTCATACAACACACACTGTTCAATCTTCCCCTCATACAACACACACTGTTCAATCTTCCCATCACACAACACACACTGTTCAATCTACCCCTTACACAACACACACTGTTCAATCTTCCCCTCATACAACACACACTGTTCAATCTTCCCCTTACACAACACACACTGTTCAATCTTCCCCTCATATAACACACACTGTTCAATCTTCACTTTACACAACACACACTGTTCAATCTTCCCCTTATACAACACACACTGTTCAATCTTCCCCTTATACAACACACACAATCTTCCCCTTATACAACACGCACTGTTCAATCTTCCCCTTATACAACACACTGTTCAATCTTCCCCTTATACAACACACACTGTTCAATCTTCCCCTTATACAACACACACTGTTCAATCTTCCCCTCATACAACACACACTGTTCAATCTTCCCATCACACAACACACACTGTTCAATCTTCCCCTTACACAACACACTGTTCAATCTTCCCCTTACACAACACACTGTTCAATCTACCCCTTACACAACACACACTGTTCAATCTTCCCCTTATACAACACACACTGTTCAATCTTCCCCTCATACAACACACACTGTTCAATCTTCCCCTTACACAACACACACTGTTCAATCTTCCCCTTATACAACACACACTGTTCAATCTTCCCCTGATACAACACACACTGTTCAATCTTACAACACACACTTCAACACAACACACTGTTCAATCACCCCTTACACAACACACACTGTTCAATCTTCCCCTTATACAACACACACTGTTCAACATACAACACACACTGTTCAATCTTCCCATCACACAACACACACTGTTCAATCTTCCCCTTACACAACACACTGTTCAATCTTCCCCTTACACAACACACTGTTCAATCTTCCCCTTACACAACACATACTGTTCAATCTTCCCCTTATACAACAAACACTGTTCAATCTACCCCTTACACAACACACACTGTTCAATCTTCCCCTTACACAACACACACTGTTCAATCTTCTCCTCATACAACACACACTGTTCAATCTTCCAATCACACAACACACACTGTTCAATCTTCCCCTTATACAACACACACTGTTCAATCTTCCCCTAATTTAATACTTTACATCTATTATATGTTGCTGTATTTAACTATTACAGTAAAACCCTACCTACTCAATCCCATATTTCTTGAATGCCTTTTATTCATCAAACTGGCCACTTGGTCCTGATCGTGTCCTTTGTATTTCTAGTTAATTATCCTCGGATTTCTGTATTTTAAAAAAATCATCAACATATAAAAATATAGTCAATCAATAAACTGAAAGTTTTATTTTGATTAAAGTTCGCCCGCGGTAACAGTGAAACACTGAACACATATAACATTACTGGTAACACACCAGACATCCTTTGAGTTCTTATCTGTGTGACAATAATCCTGCTATACCAGTGACTGGTGAACTGACTACCAGTTCTGTAGCAGGTGAAGCATATCGCTGTGTATACACTTGACCAGGAGAGTCTATTTACACTTCACCTGACTCTATATATACAACACAGGTCAATAGTCTCGGAGACATATCAATCAGTCCAGTCACTCTCTAATGATATAGAAATAAATGTTAACGACACAATATATTCAGAACTAAAACAGCATGGATGTGTAGTACTTATCTCCAACAACACTGATAGCTATATATAGAAACTCACTGGAGTTTGATGGTGAAGTATACACGTATTACCTACGATACAGAACACAAATATTTCTCAACTGAACTGTCATGTCGGAGCATAAATATTTAATATACTTTTAATATCATGAAACTATAAGGTCTAGCATTGTCACTATCTAGTATTACAATCTTCTCTAATGTCAACATCCTAATTATCAATATACAATTATGTCGATATTACAACACATTTCGTATCCTCTCAAGTGTTCATATCACAACTCTCTAGTATTTAAAACCACATCATTTTCCATCATTAATATTACAAAGTTTTTGGTTTTGTAAACATGAACACTCATTAATGTTAGAACAGAGACCATTCCAATCTTACAACCCTGAACATTCTTGAATATCACAGAACAAAGAACATTCCAATGTTACAACCCTAAATACTGTGTAGTTGTAGGACATTTCCTACTGTTGTTATTGGGTATAACACTTCCTGGTGTACACTGATTATCCAGTACAGTACTGCGCTGTGCATTCAAACAGAAAATTCTAACTTGATACGTGATAAAGTGGACTGTGAATGTAAAAACTACATTAGAGTCGATTATATTTAAACTTGTAAGGCTGATATCAAATAAAACATGGAATATTTCGTGAATATTATACGCGTCTACATTTGTTCTGACCTGACTTCCTATACATTCCAGTAGCATTTTGAAAACAGCTGATAACTTACACTCTACGTGTGGATAATGAACAAATACATTCAAAACGCCTTTAATTTACAATAACAAATTACTTCTAGTGAAGTCATGAAATACAAACATCTGATCTGCATACCTTTGCAGACGAGTTTTAACTTGCCTTTGAAAAGCAAGGTCATAATTACAGAATGAAATTTAAACTCTGGAGTGATCACCCTTATGTTTATGTGCCTACTAAGAAGATACATGCATTGCTTTAAATATAAAATACAGGCATACAAGACAAATAGACTCTGTACCTAGTAGACATAAGATCTCTGTTATCTCTTACACTTAAGAACCTGTGTAGAACTCCATATTCTTTCCCCAGCTTTTTCTATAACAAACTACATAATCCCTCACCCATAACCATTTCCAATATAGTGAAACACACTTAATATCATTTTTCATTGGTCAAGGAGAAATGTGATAATAAGCAGAACGTGACATTAACAGTTGGCACAATTTTTCCAGACATCTAAACCCAAAAGTTAATTTTCTGATGCGCCAAATCTAACAGAAATTGTTTGAAGACAATGTTAATTGATTTGTTTTCCCCATAATAACAGTGATTTTCTTTAAATTTTGTTTGTTTATTTCAAATATCTAAACTGCTATCATAAATTATAGTGAACAATCATATGTCAGATTCATAGTTTACACATGGTCTGATTCATACGCGACACTATCATGTCATCAGCTGATGTTTTGCTATATAGTTTATTCATTGATAACTGTATAGGCTTCATAATGGGGCATCATTGCTAAGTGACATTATCAGATGTTGGATCACATATAGGGATAGAATATACAGGGAAGAAATCAGTGTTTCAAGAAAACCTGATATTAACAGGAATGTGACATTACCAGATGACATTAAGTGGGTTCTACTGAAAAGTAATCTGATTTTGAATTCCAAAACTTACACAGCAATATGTATAATGTTTTCACTTTTTTCCCTGAGCATTTAAGAAACTGCATGTTCCTCAAGTTGGGGTAACGGCTTATCATACCTTTAGCATACTGCAATATCCATAAACCTGTACAAATGTCTGAGACATTCCTACCTCCATGCAAATCTTTTCAATGACTTCATGAATTCTTATTAGTGATCTTGACATTTGGATAGTCACACAAATTAATCCCAGGTATTCCAATAGCTAAAAATTGGTATAAACTGTGACCAAAATACCTAAAAAGACTTATAAAATGTAATCGCTACCCCTGATGACATCAAATTTGGACAAGATCAACATGGGTAACACCCTAGGCTCCTTCTCCCCAACCCAACTCATCCTTCCAACCCTAACTCCCCTGGCAGGGAAATAAAAACATATATTTGCATCCACATCAAAGTCTTCTTGTAATTTTTTAAGCTTATGCAATAATTGTTTATCTAAATTTTATGGTTAGTAAATTTATTTCAAATAAATATGTGAAGAAGTCAGATTCTTTTCTAAACATAGAAGCAAAGATGGACATTGGTACTGATTTGTTTTAAAGAGTATATGCATTATCTCCACATGGTGTGGTCAAATTAGTTCTAGGAAGGTTTGAACATACTGGGGACTCCTTGAATTGCCTTCATTACTCAATTGGATTAAATGAACATTATTTTTCGCAAAATTTATTCAACAATTGAAATATCAACTGAAAAATTCTAACCAATAAAATATTGTGACTTCGCATCATCCCCGACTTCTCCAGATATACGATAAAAATCTCATGCACTACATGCCTAGTGACAAACTAAACATTGACGAATGACCTTAAGCACTCAACGTTACCATGGCAACAGACAAAATACCTTACCTGGCTGATCACACTGCACTTCATTTTCCTCCTTGATCTTGTGAGCTAACTTTTTCTTCTTCTTTCTACCTCGTATGCGTTTGTCTTTGGTGCCTTCCTGTGGGGGCAGCCACTCATCATCTTTATCCCCATCCTCCTGTAATCCAAGCCTGTCTAACGGTTCATCCTTCACAGGTATCACTGCCTTGGAGACAGCAGCAGGTTTTGGCTTTTCCTTGACAAAACGACTATCTAAAGCAGCCAAAGCTTGTATAGCCATGTTTTGAGAGACTGTTGTGAGAGTCATGGCCTCTCCTTTCCTTTTCCTTCCACGCTTCCCCTTTGTCACCTCCTCCAGTACTGGAGCTCGGTCCTCAGAGGTAAGACCAAGGATACTTTTCCTTAGTGATCTTTGCCCTCCAAGCTTACGAATTATCGTTTCTTCCTCTGGGCCAAAACTCAAGCTCTGAAGCATCAGTCTTTTCTTTAGTCTTTCTTGCTTTTTCATGTACTGAGATTTTTTTTCTTTCTCCGGTGATATATTGAAATCATCAAACAGGCTATCATCTCTGTCAACATCGTCTCTGAATTCATCTTCATTTCTTTCACTATTGTCTTCCCTGTCATAACCATCTCCGTCTGCATCTTCATATTCTTCAGCTCCATCCTCATTTCTATCAGGTCGGTTGTCTCCCTTTGACATACCTTTCCTGATAGTGAAAATTAGATTTTTCCTTCGCTTTTTCTTCAGATTAAGTCCAATCTCCTTTAGTTCATCAGGTTTGAGATTTTTCAAAAGCCGAGCCTCTGTTCTCCAATGGAGTTTCCCTGCCTGTGAGATGGGTAAGCCAGTGGCCTCAGCGAGTTGCTCAGTATTGCCAAATTTTTTCTTCCACCCTTTGATTTTTGTTATGTCTGATGTTTTCTGTGGAGACTTAAAGTTTATATCTTTATTCTTTGATTTCAGAATCATATACAACTCTGTTCTGTACAACTTTTGATATTTCTCAAGAGCCTTATGCATCCCACGTAAATTCTGATTCATCTGACCCTGAGCTTTTAATGCCTTCAGCCTATGAATTTTTTTCTTGTACTTTGATTGTATATGTTCCCGTTTCTGACGGAGATTCTTTAACCGAGATATTCCAAGTAACAGATTTTCATTTTTCCCAATCCTGGTATTTCGTTCTACCTCTATGTGAGCATTAAGTGTTTCCTCTGATGGGAAAGACACAAACACCATGCCATCAACCTCGTCAAAGTCTGGTTCCAGCTCTTCCTCAAATTCCCTCTGTTCAGCATCCTCATCACCTTCATCATCTTCCTCCTCTACCTCACCCTCATCTTCTTCTTCTTCTCCTTGCTCTTCACCATCATCATTGTCTTCCCCCTCTTCTTCTTCCTCCTCCTGGTCTACAGGAGTATCCTGCTTTTTCATCTTCTGAAGGTAGTCATCTAGAGATTTGCTCTGAAAGGCGGACATCTTATCTGGTGTATCCATCTCCACACTTTTCAGGACATCTAGAGGTCTAGGCTCAGTGATCTTAGGGCGTTCTGGAGTATCATGACCAGTATATCCTGTCTGACCTCGCTGGATGATAGAAGTTGTAGACGACCCAATCTGATTGCCTCTGAAGGCAGATGCGAGACCACTCTGAGAAGACTTCAGTCTGCTTTGGTCTCCCTGGATATCATCAGAAATGGAATCTAGACAATCCTCATCACATGTCAGATCTACAGTGTTTACAGGTTCCTGTAAGCTGACTGCAGATTCTTTCTTGCTTGAATCTGCAGCTTGCAAATCTGTTTGACTTTCATCGGAATCGTTTTTGGAACCTATCTTACCACCATCAACATAACCTGTTGACACGGACTTTTCTGTTACAGAATCACTGTTATCTTGTTTTTTCAATACTTCTGTCTCTTCCTCATCATTTCCTTCCTCATCATCTCCCTCCTTTTCATCTGGTGTATAGGAGCCCATTAACAGATCAAAGATGTTCTTCCTTGCTGGCGAGTCGTCTGTGGTAGAATCAGCATCTGTAGATGTGACCATTCCAGACTGAGTATCTTCCATTTTCTCTTCCAATTTCTGTCCCCTTGCGGACTCCGGTTTGACATTATCAGATGAGGAGGTAGCAGAATTGACTAGAATTACGTCTGCAGGATATATAGTGCTTTTATCTGGGGAATTGTACCTTCTTGATGATCTGATTGGTGTCTTTTCTGGAGAAGTCTGTGCTCGAGTTACCCTACCTGGTGATTGATTTTTGTTCTGAGAACGCCTTGTCACTCTTTCCTGTGTTTGGCTCTCTTCTTCTTGTCTGCCAGAATTTAGTAAATCTTCTAATGAGTTTTTGTCCTGGTCATTTTTGCGCAATTGTGGCATTTTTTCGGTACAATTGTCTTTTGCTGAGGTAGATCCAGCCTCATTGTCAGGAATTTTGGTAGAAAGCTTTTCACTGATGGAACTGCTATCCTTATCTTTTAACTTTATATCGTCCTTATCTAATGCTGTAAAACTTTCATCACTTGCATCCTCCTCCTCATCACCAGGCTGAGCTGATTCATAAAAAGGTGAATTCAGAAACTCTGGTAGAGGATTAGAGCATTCCAAATTGGATTTTACGCGCGATATAAGACTAAAAAGGTTCGAACACTTTGATCTTTGTGAGGAAAGACTGTCAGATTTACCTACCACTTCTTTTTCATTGCACAATTCCGAAGCATCTGTCACAGTATTCTGGCTTTCATCACTTTTAATATTGTCAGTTGGTGTAATAGATTCCTGCTTCACATCACTCGCTTCACACAAATCTCCCTTGTCCTGATCAGGATCCTTCTTAACTTTAATACTAAAATCTTTCTTATCAGGACTACGTTTTGTCTTAGCATTTTGTTGCGACTCACATTTTACACCACTTGGTCTTTTTAAGTCCATTTTTACAGCCGTTGTACAACTTTCTTTTGAATCAACTTTCACATTATCACAACGTAGCTTTTTGGTATCACTTTCACTGCTCAAATTTTGTTTTAAGTTGCTACTGTCACCTGTACGCTCCGAGTTACCATTTATGTCTTTCTGATGTTTCCAATTATCTCTCACACAATCACTTTGTTTGAAGTTGTTACTATTGTCCTGCAAGTGTTTGGAGCTGTTCTTGGTTTTGCTTTTATGCTTTGAATCAATTTTATCACAGGTTTTCTTGGGTTCCATTTTGACATAACATTCTCCATTGGAATCTGTTGAGACACTTCTACTAGAATTTTCGTTATCATATGGCTTTGAATCACACTGCTTGGAGTCTAATAGTCTGCATTCACTTTGTTTGGAAACACTTGCTTTCGGAACACTTTTGTTTGTACTTTTCTTCCTGTGTTCCAAGTCTGTTTCCTTATATTCAGGTTTAGAATCACTTTGTTTAGTAACACATTGCTGTGAATCTGTAGTTTTTGAATTACATGTTATCTGTTTTTCATCACTTTTAAGAACGGTTTTTTGTTTGAAATCAGCTTGCTTGGGCACTTTTTGTTTGGATTCCTTTTTGACAGATTTTTTTGGTTTGGAGTCCCCAACCTTTGAATCACTTTGCTTGGATATGTTTTTATTTGTAATTTTTTGTTTCGAGATTGAAGTAATATCTGGACTTTGCATTGAATCACTTTTGAAGTTACATTTATCTCTTTTGAAGCTAGCAACTGCAGAGGTAGACTGAGAAGATATGTCATCAGTATCCATATTGAATTCATTTCGGAGACGCATCAATTCTTCCTTGCGAACGTTAGCTAAATGTTCCTCCATCTGAACCTGTATCTGACTATCACGGGTGTTATTTTTCACACCTTCACTAAAATCGATCTCTCTTACAGCACCAGTGACTTTTTTCACTCTCGGAGATTTGTCATTCACCATTGCTGTATCTGGTGACTTTCGCCGTGAGGGAGTTATGATTTTGTCATTTGACAATGTTTTAGTTAACAATGCATATAATTCCGATGTCTGACACTCTGCAGTCTTTGTCACTTTCTCCCCTTCTAACCTGAAAGGTTTCTCTCCCTCTGGTGTCTTATCTTGTCTGTCTTCTGGACTATTACCATCTCTGGCATTCCCCAATTTTGGTGACTTTCTTGGGGACTTGAGAGGGAATAGAATCATATCGTCAGCATAACGCACACTGGGAGAACGTATCCTTCTACCCTGTCGAAGATCTCCATCCCTCGGAGGTGTGGGAGATGTAGATTGACTGCCACTCATTTCATCTGATCCTGTCTCTATCTGTAACTGATCTCCATTGTTGAGTGTTATCTCTATGGACCCTAAGTCACCTTGAAGTCTGGTTTCTGTAGCAGAGGTATCAGACAAATTGTTAGTATCCGTAGATATTGTTGAAGAAGGTGACCGTTTTTTCTTTTTAGTCTTCACTTTTTCCACTTGATCTGGAGTGGGACTTGACTTGGCACCATTGGATGGAGATTGGGGAGGGCATTCTTTCAATAACATAATACTTTTTTTTTGTTCTTTCTTTTCCACATCTTTTAACAAAGATTTAGTAAAAACCTTAGTCTTAAGAGGCTTTTCTGTGAAACATTTAACAGATTCACGATTTTCATTTTTCACTTGTGAATGTACTGGGCCTTGTTTAGGTGAGACTTTCTTCTTGCTCCCAACAATGTTCGGCTCTTCATTTGCCATCTCTGGAGTAATGAAAGATTTTAACAAATGTTTCTTCAGTTCACTTCCTCTGAGGGTGCCACTCCCCACCAATTTTGCTTCCTCGTCACCTTGCAATACGTCCCGTATACAGACAATAGGCGTACTTGTTCCTCCAGATATCCCTGTATCACCAGGTAATCCACTGATAGCATGTTTCACATTCTGATACACAAAAATTCGACCTACATCTTGAGGAGCAGCTCCATTTTCAGATTTTCTGTCTGACTTAGAGTCTATATTTAAAGAAAGAGAGGCAGTTTTGGGAGAATCACTAAGGTCCTCCTGGTTTAAAGAATTCTTAGGAACACTTTGTACTGTATCACCAGGGGATTTCCTCTTCCATTTAGGCTTTGTCGATGGTGTTGTAGTTTTCTGTGACAAGTGATCAGTAACTTGATGTACAGAAGGGACTAATACTTCTGTCTGACACAACAGTTCCTGTGAGACACCACTTCTAGGACTTCGTCGCGAGGACAAATCATGTTGCCTTGGAGACGAGGATCGGGATCTTTTGCCAAACTTTGAAGAGGATGACGAAACATTCCCTTTCTTTATAGGTGTAGAAGAGTTCAACTGTTCTTCAACATCACACTGCTGCAACCCTGTAAAATAATGATGGCATGTCAAAATCATCATTCTGAATAAACCATATTAAAATTAAAACCAGTCATGCTAACTGAAAATATGCATTACTTTGTATAGCTTATAACAGCTGACATTATGTACAGGTGACATGCAACTTAAAAGCTCAACTGTTCATTGAATGGTAAATTGTTTCATGAAACCTTTGAAAACAAGACATGCACCAGATGCACGAGTATCGAATCCAAAGTAAACTTGGCAAAATATTCTTTTTGGGGATATATTGACTTTGTCCAAGGGTTTCTATAGAAGTGATTTCTCACACCTTTGTACTCAGTTTGCTTCTTTAAAACTTTCAAAAACTGAACTGGGTCCTATAGGACACTTGAAATTTTATATATCCAACTAGTTTAGGATTGTTATGTTTTCTTTAAATGTGTTGAAAGAATAGCACTTCTACAAAGCCTAAGGTTCCCAACATTTCAACTAATCAAGGATTAGAATACTATAAAATGTTAACTGTAAATGCAGAAAAATATGCCAAATGGGCCTGTATTGTCCACTGATTCTGCAGTTTAATAAAATGATGAGAAGATACTACTGATTTTCCATAAATGTTACTGACCAATTTTGACCCTGGCCATCTCGGTTATTCACAAATGCCAGTTTAAATATTTCAAGTTATCTAGCCCCTTTGACCCTAAAAATATGTAAAAAAAATAAAGAGGATTCTTTTGGATTAAGTTGAAACTACAGGTCTAATTTACCATGACAATAATTCATTAGAAGATAATTTACTTCATTCATCCATGTGACCTATCAGCAGTTTAGGGTCAATGAAGATTCTTAAAAACTTGACCCATATGACCTTGATGATAGGTTAAGGTCAATAATTCAAACATATTTGATATTTGTGTCCCATTTTATTATTTTGTATTTACATTAACTTGCTCTGATGTTCCAATACTTCTAAATATAATTAACTCTTATTATTTGATGCCTGACATCTCTTTATCCCCATGAGCTATCATACAATCCCCCCTCAACAAGTAGTTATTCAAAAGAAGAAACAGGATATAGAGTTGGTCCCTTCTGCTCACATATTATTATTCAATGTTGGCAAATGTATCCCACATCGGACTCTTTAACATGGTCATGTTACATATACTTTTAAAACACTAATATATAATCTATTTTATAATACAATACAACAGATATATCAGTGAATTGGCCATTTAAACATTTACTATCAATCCAGACAGTCTGACAGTACTTTATCCCTACTAACTGTAATCCTAACAGTCTCATGTGTCTTCAGAGAAAAAATATCACATTTCTTCAGAATAGTACCATATTTCATCATTTTAGCAAGCTACTGACCAAACATACCAACAGCCTCCAGATTAATCAACACAACATATTTTGCACCTATGGCCATAAAAATCGGTCAAGGTCAATCATTCATTCTATCATATTTGTGAGTTGTTTACTACAAGCCAAATAAAAGTTAAAGTAATATAATACCTTGGTTTTTATAAAGATGGCTGTGATTGACCTGGCCCTTCACCGGTGTAGAACAAGTGCCATCCTGGTTTTTGGTCCTGGCCATTACATGTCCTAGTTTCCATCAAGGTCATGGTCACATCATCTATAACATTAAGACAGGGATACATTGACATCTTTCTTTATAACAACTACAAATCTTCATACAAAATAAACATTGCATCTTTTTCTTCAAGAAAAGTTGCCATTGCCACTAGATCAAAGGTCAAGGTTATGGAACAAGTCAACATCGCAGCACCAATGATCTTGAAAAGCCCAAATCATAATATGATACATGTGTAATGTGGTAAATACCAACCTAGAGAGAAATCCTGTTAAGCTCTATCAGTTTAATGGAAGTCTAGTAACCCAGAGGTCCTGGGTTCAAATCCTTGCAGAAGCAATGAAATGTGATTTTAGTGACTATTTGGGGACTCTGTTATAACACGTGTTACTTTCACAATGATAGAGTACCATTATGACACCTTCTCTAACATTCTACTTTAGAGGTGAAAACTGGTACATACTAGCTCCAATATATCTCTTGGCCAGATTGAATTTCTCTTTAGCTTGATCAGTTGAGCATATGACTAGTAAGGCCATGGGTTTGCATATTAGCAGTATTGAAACAAGGACATAGTCATAGAACCTTAACAAGGAATTAAAGTAAGAAGTCTGCAAACCAAGTTTCCTAAAAACCGCATCATTCCATCTTAAAATCATGTGCAGAAAGATTTCCCATACAGTGATTAAAGAAATTAGCCAATCAGGTCACATCAGCCTCATTAAATATGTGCAGAATTTGCCATTAATGGAACTTGGACAAGGGATTAACATAACAAGTCTACCAACCAAGTTTCATTATGATCTGATCAGTCCTTCCAAAAGATATCATGCGGAAAGCAGCATCCGGACGGATGGACTGATTGAAGGAAAGAATCCATTTGAATATTCCTTGCCAACTGCATTAGGCTGGGGAAAATAACTCAGGACTTCAGTTTCAAAGCAGAATCAATTGCTATAGGAAATTTTCCTTGCTTGCTGTGGGCTTTACAGCCTTGCAACAGTCATGGCCATACAAAGAAGTGTCCACAGATGACTTGACCTTATAATGAATGTTTTATAGTGCCATCACACCGAAACATTACCATGGACATGGTAGCAGGACACCCAATCACATATACAGATTACTGGTTAATCAGTCATTGTGCATTCAATAATGCTTAGAGGGAAGCAGTGAGAATGAAATACCATTAACATAACTTAAGTATTGTGTGGTTTGGAGACAGGACGTTCTTTGGCTTTCTCTATGGGCAGGCCTTATATTACATCAAACAGTGTCAAGAGAGACATTAGGAAGGAAACAGGTCTTAGAGATGATAGAAAAGATAACAATCCCAGGAAAAGTTACCTCTGAAATGGTACAATAGGTTGTGCATCATGATCTGGTACCATTATTATGCTCTTACAGCAGAGCTTTCCAAGGAAGATAAAGTTTTCCCATTTTCAGCCTTTTTTTTGACATTGTCCTTATCTCCTTAATATGAGAAATAATTTACTGGGAAAAACATTATAATTACAATTTCAAGCAATGCTGAACTAGATACAGGTATAAATTAATGATCAGAATGTATAATAAAGGTTGGTTTTGAAAGATTTTTTAGATTTTCTCTTATTTTATCTCAACCATTCCAAGACAATTTCGTTTGACATTGTTTTTTTTTATTCAATTTTTGATAATCACATAATTTTACTTAAAGGTATCTTTTAATTCTGTGTAACATGTAGTTTTTCTTAAAATAATCCTAAATGCCCAATCAGACAAGAAAATATATATCAGTCATGTTGGAATTCTACATACAAATAAAGTATTTTCACTAAAAACATAATTTCTGTACACCAGGATCTATATATTGTTACAACCAAATCTTCCTGTTTTCAATAATGACTTCATGGTTGGTCATATCAATAGGATAGAAATTAACACAACCAGTAGAAGATTTAAATGGGACATTTCAATGACTACAATCACCTTCATTAGACATTCAAAATCTTCTACTGGTTTTATAGGTTTTATAAGAACTTCTATTTCACTTTAGTATCTTATCTTGACACTTAATAAAATAGAATGCATTAAAACTGAAATACTTCTTGTTTCAGGGAAATACATTTTAAATCCACACCACAAATAATTTTGAGAGTTATCAAATGAGTAGTAACTTTGGGCTCAAATACTCGAGTCCTAACTCATTTTTTTCCTGAGACTCAAATTTAAGAACCTCTTATACCTCTTTGTAACTGGACTCATCAAATTTTTTAAAATTCTACTAAAGATACTGATAAGTAAGGATTACTGTATTGAAGCCAACATTTTGTATATAAATATTGGATGGATATAGAAAATATTGGTGCCTTTGTGGCAGTCATCCTTTACTTCATCTTTGGCAAAGTGTCTATCGGCCAAAGGGATTATCGAGACACCTAAATTTACACCATCACTCTCGATTTAGATTTATAACTTTGTTTTTGTTTTTATGTACTACGTATGTAACGTAATTTATGTAATATTTGTGTCTTGATTTAGTGATAAAGAAAATATGACAATTCGCTTGTCCATACTGTTGCTATTAATTCATTGATCATACATTATATATATTGAATATATCTAAAAAAATAAAAACTCATAAAAAAGAAAAAAAAATACATTGCTATAAACAGCACTCACAATCCTTGGCAAAATGTGTAAAGGGGAAACAGTAAGTTATAAACATGGAAGATTCAGAACATGGCACTCGATAAAGTGGACAAAACACTAATCTTAAACATTGGACAACATCTAACCAGATAGGTTTGAGAAACTGCTCCTCTGAGGTTAAGCCATTCCCGAAGATTTGGACATTCAAATGAAAGGTATTTCTGTAATTTATCAAAGGTTTCGGTATCCAATGAAATCAGGGATGCACGTGCTAATGAAAAGCATTTTCTAAATTGGTATAAGATATTTATTGGAATGAAGATTATGGGACATATCTCTATAAACAAGAGGCCCACAGGCGTTAATGGTCACCTGAGGCCTTCAGATCTTTGGACAGTTTTAGAACCTGTCCATAAGTCCCAGCATTGGGGCAAACACCAGAACTGCTATATGCATACTTGCAAAGTTTTCATTGTTTCCAAAATTGAAGGCTTACTATTTAATTAAACGGAACTGATAACACTTTTGTTGTAGTTTAGCATATTTGTCCCCTGTGACCCTGTCAAAGAAAGTCAAGGTCATTCATTTTAACAAACTTGGTTGCCCCTCTTCGCAGCATGCTTCTGACCCAATATCATGACCTTGGACCATTTGGTTACTGAGAAGAAGTCATTTAAATATTTCAACATATTTGATGCTGGAAAAAAGATGGTCGCAATAGGTTACTTGAGACTTCTCTGATACAATATGCTCGATTTTAGATATCAGGTGCATAAAAGAAATTTTACTGAAACATATTTAATATCATTGAGACAATAAGAGGTCACAAACAATGGATAAATGCAAACATCACCAAAAACAAATATCTGTAATAAGCCTTTGTTACTTTGCAATTAACAACTGATTCAACAATGTGATATTTTCTATATTTCACCAACATGTCTATGTTGCATGTTAGGTTTATCACCCTATAAACAATCTGGGTCATTTTGAGGCAGAAGCTTGCGTCTGTCTCACTGAACAACAAACAGGAGGCCCATCCTGTCTTCCCCATGGACACAACCACATCATCACAGACCAACCCGTATATCCTGGGAAACACAAACTGCTTATGTATGGAACATTGAACCACGTACCTGTGATCTTCACCTGGGTTCATTACTCTTACTGACCTATCACAGTTTCTACCTTTCACCACTGAGAATATACTATATATTATCTATACTTTTACCTACTATGAAAAACACTCAAGACAGCTTGAAATAAGACAGTATATATTAACACTAACAGCAAAATATATCAAATGTTTCCTTCATCTGTGTTCATAATGTTATTGATTTTCTAGAATTTTCTCTATGTACAAGCCTTATATATTGTAATTCCTACCAGTTCAACATCAGAGCACGGGACTGGAAAGTAAACAGAGAAAAAAAGGATACTTTGTTCTATTAAATAACAACAGATTTTTAAAGAAGAGAAATGAGGATGAGTTTGACTGAAATAACAGTAATCCAAGATATTGCAATGTTGTATGGGTTTTTTTCTACTTCAGACAGAACTAGAAGTTGGATAATCTTAAACCAGATCATGAACATGCTTGTATCATCTCATAATATTAAAGATCCAAACCCATCCCTTCATAGTGTACATGTATATAACCAGGCATATTCCCAAATTATGCAGAAAACTCCATTGAAATTACCTTATATTGTGTGCCAACATTGGGGAAACAGGTAAGTTTTTGTATCCATGTCAAAAGCTCTAAACTGATCTCAACATAGAATACATCAATCCAGATTAAGATGAAAGAAAACTGACAAACTCTGCTCTCCACATCAGTTGCCTCATTTTTATTCATCAAAATTATCTATATAAGAAAGGAAAATCTATGAATTTTTAGAAGGCCTGACATGTCATCTCATACAGTACATGTGGTTGAAAGAAAAAAACTGTTTTCACAAATGAAGGCCTAAATTGATAACGTCCCAGAAAAAAAACATCCAGAAAATTTACACAGAAGGTAATGCAATACCAATCTGCATGCTGGCTTAATGGTATCGGAGAATTATTTATCTCTTTGACAAGAATTTCATTAAAAAAATTTCCACTGAAAATTCTCATTTGAAACAGAACAGTAATGAACTTCCACCTGCAGCCAACTATATGTATTTTCACACATGAATGAAAGGAAAAGGTTATGAACTACTAATAAATTCAATTTAATCCCATTATCTTTCCGAAATTCCATACAAATCAATATATGTATCGTGAAATGCATCCTATGATGAGAATTATATATTTTTATACTGGCTGTTTACAAGTCCACTGACTTGGAAAATTTGGCATTGCCCTTCAGATCCACATTTAAGCTT